TATATTGTGACTGGTTTTTCGTAAAGATTAAATTAAAAAGATTAGACGTCTTTAATTCATGTAATTAGCTTTATGAACTTCAATAAATAATAAACTAATATATTTCATACATGAAAAAATGTAGAATACCTATTCATAAATCATACTCTTAAATAACTTAAACACCAAAAATCGAAAACTTGGTACTTAAATAATGATTTTTTAAAAGTAATATTAATCATTCAAATTATTGTAAATTTAAAAATAACCAAACAAAATAAATAAATGTTATTTCGACAACTAATATTAATTATTTTTCATGTTAAATATTTTACTGTAAAAAATTAGTATCAGGTCGTGTTTGAAAATTGTTTTATAATTTTCACTAATTATAGAAATCATGAACTAATTAACTAATTGAATTAATTTTTTAATAATTTTCATTTGTTAATAACACATACGCCGAAATATTTTATCTTTCCGTTTTAATAAAATAAAATGTTTTTGTGAAGAATAAGGGTGTTATATTTTTTTGACAGCAACTTCATTTTTTATCAAATCATTTAAATCCAAATTATTTTCCGTTGCTCTTCTACGGTGAATTATTTTATTCCCTTACTGAGTTAACAACAAACCAAGATATTCTTTTGTAAACACATCGGCTGTGAAATTAAATGTCAACGATTTTGTGTGCATGTGAATAATACTTAAGAAATCTGCTTTTGTGATAGGTAATGCAAACTAAATTAAATTGTATGAATTTCCATGAATTTTCAATGTTTTTAGTTTTATCATGATGAAAATTTTATTCCAAACTGTAAATTAAACTTGTTTTACAAGTCCATACTTTTCATTTATTAATAAAATAATTCAAGAAGATACAAAATATTAGGAGGAATAATATAATTATAATTTTTTTTTCTTGTATAAACCGAACCACGAAATCAGTTTAGATTGGACATATTTTTCGTAAACATACACTATGGTTAGTGTTCTAATAAAGATCAGTCATGTGTATGTAGTTATTATTTAAAGAATGAAAATCAATTTCGACTACTTTTATAAACAACAAAATATCTCAAGCAAACGTTTTGTTTGACATAAAAAAGTTGATTATTACTAAAATATATTAAATAGTTATAAAAAATTTAATAGAATGAAAAAATCACAATTATTAAAAAAATATAATCAATAAAAAAAAAAATAATAGAAAATGTTTGATACGATGAAATGGAATTTTTAATATACTTCAAAGTTGTGTTCACAAATATAGGAATACTTATTTATATATCGACATTCATTAGTTATGAATTGACATATTTAACTTATAAGTTTAAACCAAATACTTATAATAATATTTGATAAACATTTTAAATATGTGCAACAACATAATTTTGTAATAACACATGAAGAAATTATTGTCACAATTTTTTCAAATCATATGTTTGCTAAAGAAAGTGAGGTTAAGTCATATTGAAGATTACAAATAGTCGATTTAAGACTATAGTTACTTCTTATTAAAAGACTTTAACTATGCATAAAGGTATTAATAAATTAAACAGGTATTAATTATTATTTTATCACGTATCTAATTTAGTACGTAAGGCGTATTAACATCTTTACGCACTAAATAAAAAAAAAATTAATGCTCCTAGTTATGTGTATTCATTTAAACAGACAATACATTTACATTAAAAAATGTAATTTAAAAAAAACCCAGCACAGTGGGGTCGCTGAATAGTGGAGACGTGGCATAGTTAGGTCCAGTATTAAAGATATCTGACAGTGATTAAAACCACTATCATAAAAAACGCTTCGATTCAAATCTGTAGATAGCGTTTAAATTAAAAAAAATTGATGGATTATTCCAAAACCTACATGATCTCCTATTTCCTTAGTTTTATTCTGATTACAAGTTTAATGATTTATAAGTGTAATATATACATTTATAATATAGAAATATATAAAGGGAAACGGTCCGACTTAAAAAAAAGGATGTCGAATGAAGAATGTATATAAATAGTACTTATTATGAAAAAATGTGTATTGATCCATATATTTTTCAAAAAGTTATAGTATTATAAAATTAAAAATATGAAAAAGAATTTTTTTATAAAAATCATATTTTTTTTTATTAACTTTGATGACTTTCACTATAAAAACAAAATAAAGTCCAAAATTTGTTTTTTTCCATAATAAAGTATATTACATAAACTTAAATTTAAGGTATATATAAAAGTGTCAGTATTTCTGGAACACTTTCAAAAGTTAAGTTGAATAAGTTACCATTTTTAATCCCACCCTGTGTGCAGGTAAAGAGTCAAATGTTCACAAAAATATATCAAATGATAGTTAAATACTTAAAGTATCTTTATATAAAAAAAATTATATTGATTTTTCATTTTTGAAAAAGTTATGGCAGTTTAAAAAAAAAATTGACAAAATGTCGAAAATTAGCGATTTTTAAAATTCTAATTTTTGGGGGGATTTGCCTCATTTACGGGGAACGAGGGACAATTTTTCAAATTCTGAAGGTAATGTCTTTGACTAAATACGATTTGTGTTTTTTTTTGACGTATCGTTAAAAGAAATCGATTTGGTGAGAGCTAAGAAAAAGTGGTAACAGACACAAAAAAAAAAAAACACATTATAGTAAAATTAATACCTTCTCAGCTTTTCATCGAAGCTAAAAGTAAATTTCATATATTTATTAGGTAATATTTTTTTTATGAATGAATTATGTTATAAATAATTTATAGTACATATGGATTGTTTATTATCAATTATGGTTATCAATAGATATACTTTTTATATTGTCAGTTAGTATATTTATAAACTCACAACAATGTGCCTTACTACCATTGATAATAATAATTCTGTATACCTGCGAATATTGATGTCATAGGAAACTAATTAGCTACCTGTATTTGTAATCCCTTGTGTATTATACCTAAATATTAACTCAAAAATTTGAAACTTTAAATGTTTATATCTAATAAATGAATAAAGTTATAATAACAATTCAATTGCCATTTCTAATAAATCGAAAACTTAAACAGTTGATTAAATTCAAAATATGGGTTCCATTTAAAAATAAAGTTGACACCCATACAATGGTCTATGGGATGACCTATAAAAGTATTACATAGTTAATAATTTAAGAATAATGTATAACTAAAAATAGAAAAGAAAAAAAATGTTTAAATTATATTTATTCTGTTACTAATTGAGTGGGTTATAATATTAAAAATCACTCTGTATACTTTGTTAATGATTATTATTACTGTATATGTAGATAATTATATATGTATATATTAGTTTTATCATTATTTTAAATAGCGAGTGATGTATATTTAATTCTATTTGAATATTTTATTCAATTTTAATTCAGTTATTTCTTTCAAATTCAAATAAAATATAAACATTTATTTGGAATCCATAATAAATTCAAATTAATCAAAAATAAAAACTACATTATGACATTACATGTGGAAAATTAAATTTTCAAATTTTAAATAAAAATTCTAGTATTAATAATAAAAAAATTCTACTTTGATGTTCACATTAATTATTTTGTTAATAGCTAAGAAAATTTAATAAAAAAAATTGTAATTATAAAACGATTGGTCAATCTCAATTACGCAATTAATTTATTTTCCTACAAACTGACATCTTATTAAGTAATTGTATGGTCTCAGGTGCATGGAAAAATAAATGGATTATTTTTAATTTTGATTTTTATTAGGCCTTTAAAAAGTGCATTTGCTTATTATAGTATATACTTTATTCTAGACAATTTTAAGTGTCAATCGTTAATACTTAGAACAAATCAATATTCAAGAATAAATGAAAGACTGAATAGACTTTAATTAGTTTTGAATTATGAACTCGATTATGCACACTACTATATCGTAATTGTAGTAGAATTCTTATTGCTGCAATAATTAATATAATTTAATTTCTATTACAGAAAATATCGTTGATTGAATTAATCAAATTATATTAAAATAATTAATTCCCTTTTATTTATAACAATAGATAGATTCCGTGATAACTTATCAAGTTTATAATTAAATATTGTTGAAATTTTAGATTTTATATATTTGATAAATATTATAATGGCAGTAATTCATATTAAGTCAATAAATATTAATAATAGTAAGTGTATTATAGTAATTTCCAAAATACAGTATATTATATTTAATAAATACAAATAAAAATTTAAAAAAAACATTTATGGTTTATATTTTAATGTATATCTTAGTAAAAATAAGGTTTATTTACGACGTTGAATGTTTTCATTAGGTGTCTTTGCTACATAAGAAATTTACTTAACACATTACGTCCCCAATTAATGATATGACTTATTAAAAATCCATATGGGACATTCAAAATTTATTTACTGATCTGTGTAAATTTATGATAGGAAATCTCCCCACACACAATATATAGTTTAGATGAAAGAAATATAAATAAATATTTAAATAAACTTCTAACAAAATTTTAAGGTTTAACTTTTGTGTTATATCTGTATACTAGTACATTATAATTAAATTTAATTAGTAGGTATCCTAATTTGTAGTGTAAAGAAACAATAATAAAGTCTTCTAACAACATATACTGTATTTTCGCCTATGTTATGTTGTTTTTAGTGGACATAAATTTTAACAAAGTTTAACCTTAGATACTTTAAAAATTCTTTATTTTTGGAAAGGTTACTCTGAACTATGTGCCATAGCTGACGAAAAGGTCGTATAAGCGTGGCATTTGAACTTTGTTAGACTGTAGAAAAGATGTGAAATGTCAGTTCGAATAATGCGTCCGACACCCGTAGTGGTGCGCTCCTTCCAGGCCTGTTAATCGGCTGGCAGCAGCACATACATCTGCGACGTATATTGCTCTTACCGGTCGTTGTTTAGAGCTGATACTTACTCATATCACGTTTGTCTTTAGTTGCGTACATTAAATACGTTTATACACGTGTCTTCCAGTTAAAGATTTAAAGCAAAAAATANACGTATATTGCTCTTACCGGTCGTTGTTTAGAGCTGATACTTACTCATATCACGTTTGTCTTTAGTTGCGTACATTAAATACGCTTATACACGTGTCTTCCAGTTAAAGATTTAAAGCAAAAAATACTGTTTATATAATCAAAATCTGCGTAATGACAGACTAAATACGCTAAAGAACAAATTACACAAATTAAAAAAAATGATCAAAATAATACTTTTAAATTTTTGTCTTTTGGGAATGACCTATTTCGTATTTAGCGGTAAGTAGATTTTATTTGTTACCTTTAGATTTATTAACACTAAAATAATTAATGTCTAGAATTATTGTCTAAACATATTTCAATACTCATTAGGTTATTTGAAATAATACTATTTACAATAATCAATTAAACTAAGTCATTTCTCACCAAATAAATTAAAACAAATTTTTTATCAAAACAGTCCTATAATAATTTTGTAGCAATAATATTTTTCAACAGCTAGTTTCAATATACTGGAATTAGGATTAATTAACATTTAATTTTAATGTTTAGTGTTTAGTATTACGCTTGAGTAGAATATTAATGAAGAAGCTTCACTCATTCACATTTCTGATAGGACATTGAACAATAACTTGTAGAGATGTGACAAATTATAATATATTATGCCTAACCGAGCATTTGAAAAAATTACCTAACCCTAACGCTACTAAAGTAATTAAACCGAACCAAAACTCAAATCCAACTATCCCTAAGCTAAACTCGAAACTTAAAACTAAAAAGAATTGTGATTATCAAATTAAAAAACTTAACGAATAGCTAGAGTAAAATATTTATTTTACCAAATTTATAACATAAATAATACATTATGTAAATATCAATATACTATTAAATTAAAATATCTTATTTTGCGAAAATCTTTGTTAATATCAAAATTATATTCGTTTTCATCTTATATTTTTTTGTGTAAAATGTTTTATTTTGTTTTGCACTTAATCGCCTTACTTATTAAAATCAATTAGTTTAATTAATTAATTGACAAATGTCAATTTAATTACATTTTTGTATTTTACGCAATTCTAATAATTAAGTACTTAAAAAAGAATAATGATGATATGTTGAATACAAATTCTCCAGAAAGCGTTATATATTTTGATTACATGATCTTTTTTTAGTCGTCAAATAAATTTGTAATCAAAATTTACAATTTTGTCAAACTTGTCATCTCTAAGGGAAATTATAACCTAATTCGACGTACTTCGTACACATCTAATTGATGACCATTACTTTTAATTTTCTTTTTCAATATTATTTCGAAAAAGAAAAAATCAATTATTAAATTAATTAATTCAAAAATGATTAAATTACACAGTAAAACAGTAATTTTCTTGTTTAAAATTCAAATATGGAATTTTGACGTTTATTCCAAATCTGTCCAATTTTTTCTATAATATTTAGTTTTTGATATTATTATTAATTAGTAGTAATATTATTAATAATTACACTGTAAAATCATTATAAAAATATAAAAAAAATTTTTTGTTAACTTCTCTGAAATTTTTTCACGGTGTTTAATAAAAGTTATCTAAATTTGGGGATGTTCCATCAATTTTCAAATAAATTTTGGGTCCTTAATGTTGAGAATTAGTGTCATTTCTCATAAAACAAAACAAAACTTTATATTGGAGTATAAATTTTTGTTGGTTTTACTTAGAATTATGAAACTTTAACCGATAAATAAAAAATTACAAAAGGATTTAAAAAATATTTATTTTGTGCATTTTGGGTAAATTTAACGGAAAAAAAATGTTATTAGTACAAAAACTACGGAAAATCCTCAAAAATTAATTTTACACAATAATTTTAAAGTAAAATTATTATTTAATCACTAATTACTAATTATCTTAAAAATATATGTAATAGGAAAAAATCAAAAGCTAGATTTGAAATTATCGTTTACGTATGTTCAATTTTAAATTAGAAGAGGCGCTATTCTGTTCCTTAAACAATCTTTATAAGACGTAATCTTTTTTATAAAAAACTTTATTTTTATTATTTAATAAATTTTTTACAAACAATTTTTATTTAATATCATTTTACTTTCATATAAAAACTCCGTATATTTGATTTTCATTTAAAAATATTTTGTGTTTAAGCAAGTTTTAACATCCAAAAAATAATCTGTAGTTATGGTGGTATTCACTGTTCCTGATAACGCCCCTATCAGAATGAATCTATCAGAAGAGAATAAGTCTATTGTCTTAAAACTTATAGGGCTGATTGTCGCATAATTTTGGAGTTAACACAATTTTTTTATACTTTTTACACTATTTTTAATAGGTATTACTAATAAATAATGACTGTTTAATAAATAAGTTATTACATAGTGCTTTTAGCTTCGATGCGAAGCGGAGAAGGTATTAATTTTACTATGATGTGTTTTTTTTTTTTTTTATGTCTGTTGCCACTTTTTCTCAGCTCTCACTGGACCGATTTCTTTGAAAAATACGTCAAAAGATCACAAATCGTATCTAGTTGAAGACATTACCCTTAAAAATTGAAAAAATTTCCCTCGTTCCCCGTAAATGGGGGAAATATCCAAAAAAATTACAAATTTAAAAATCGCTAATTTTCGAAATTTTTTCACTTTTTTTTCTTAAAACTTCCATAACTTTTTGAAAAATCAACAAATCAACATAATTTTTTTTTATACTAAAACCTTAGATATTTACCTTTCATTTGATATCATTTTTTTGAAAATCTATCACTTAACCTGCTCATTGGGGGGGATTTAAAATGGCAACTTTTTTACAAAAATTAATTTTTTCAACTTAATTTTTGAAAATGTTCCGGAAAGACTGCGTCCTTTAAACATATATCAAATTAAAGCTTATTTTATGTACTACAAAATGAAAAAAAAAAATTTGTCCCGACACTTTTTTTTCTACATTTAAACGGCTGCCGTAGTTAAAAAAACACTATTTTTGTGTTAAAATTTTCGATTTTCGATTTTAAATTTTCAACTTAAAAATGCTATAACTTTTTGAAAAATGTATATATCAGCACAAATTTTTTTTTTCTAAATACATTATAAGTACATCTTTCATTTGACATACTTTTTATTAAAATTGGACAATTTCCCCTTATATAGGGGGCGTTCAAAACTTAAAATATTGTAAAAAACATAGATCTTTTTCAACTGAACTTTTGAAAATGTTCCGGAAATACTGCGTCCTTTAAACATATATCAAATCAAAGGTTATGTTATATACTATCAAATGAAAAAAAAAAATTTGTCCCGACATCTTATCTTCTATGTGCAAATGGCTGTCGAAAATTTAAAAAAAAATGTAATGTTTGCGATAAAAATTACATTTTATCGGGATGTTTTTTGTACTTAAAACTGCCATAACTTTTTCAAAAATGAACAAATAAAAATAATATTTTTTTGTATTGAAACCTTAGATATTTCCCTTTCATTTGATATAATTTTTTTTGAAAATCTAACACTTATTCTGCTCACTGGGAGGATTTAAAATAGTAACTTTTTTACAAAAAATAACTTTTTCAACTTAATTTTTGAAAATGTTCCGGAAATACTGCGTCCTTTAAACATATATAAAATTAAAGCTTATTTTATGTACTACAAAATGAAAAAAAAAAATTTGTCCCGACGATCTATCTTCTATACGCAAATGGCTACCATATTGAAAAATATACTATTTTTGTATGATAATTATGGGTTTTGTATTTTATTTTAATAGAAGTTGATATTGCTTTTGCAATTATCCATCAATTTTTTAAAATTAAACACTATCTACAGATTTGCATCGAAGCGTTTCTTATGATAGTGATTTGAATCACTGTCAGATTAAATCTATACTGGACCCTACTATGCAATGTCTCCACTATGCCGCGACCCCACTGTGCTACCGTTTTTGTTAATTGTCATTTTGATAACCTGAGATAACTAACCTTAAGGCTAGTGACAATTAACATTTAAGTGGGGTCGATTGTCACAACTTTTAAATTTAAAAAGCTCTTTTAATGTGCTTTACCTGTAGTACTAACATTTGATATGTTTACAAGAAGTAATGATATTTTATATTTTATAGTATACTATTCATAGTTTAAAAAACAGTTACGTATCCATAAAAAAATTAAAAATTGTGACAACTAGCCCCGATCTTTCCTTCTATTTTATTTAATATGGTGTCATGTTAAGTTGAGTTAAGGGTTAAAAATGTTATTAACTTTACTTAAATCAAATCGTTTACTATACAAAATGTTATTTGAATGTCCCTTATAAGAAGTAGATGTTTCAATTCTCTTAATAAAAAATATCACGTTTCAAACTACTATAATAACTATAACTTCATTTTAAATGAACTCACAAAGGTTCACATTCGATAAATCCAGCACGTTTTTTACTATTTCAATGTAAAAAAAAAACAAAGACTCTTTAATGGTATAACGAAAAAGGTATAGTCCAAAAATTGACATTTTTTCATCATATAATGTGACAAATGATAGAATGTAGAATGTTTAGTTTTATTTTTTTAGATATTAAAATAACAATATAAAAAAATAACACTCTGAAATTTAATTAACACATCCCCTTTAGATGAAAATAGTTATTAATAAAAAAATATTGAATTTTATTATATTTTGAGAAAATAAAAATTTAAACAAATTTATGATTGAAAAAATTTTACTTAAAGCCTTAATATTTTAAGTATTTAATATTGATGAGTTTATAGTTTTGATGATAATCGTTTAATATAATTTATTCCTTTCTTCCAAACATATTTAACAAATTCTTATGCCCTAAAACTATTTGAAACTTAAAGCGCCATATACATTAGTTGTTTTGATAATACAGCTAACGTTATACGTATTAACAGTTTTATATGCTTACATGAACCATGTCACACATGTGATATTTTACCATGCGTAGGATTCATAAAATCCTTGAGTACTCAAGCTGTTACATCTTAAAATTACAAGTTTAAATATGACTAGATACACCTTAGCTCTATTTTTCTTTTAATGCATACTTCCTAATAAAAAAAAAATCTTTAAGGGTCATACTAAGTTTATTGAGAGTTAAATTCTGAAATTCAAATAGTGATGGATTCTTTTTATAATAACCAACAGTATCATAATATCTTTTAAATAAAATTGTCAATATTAGGGTATTTTATTCAAAAATCTCAATAGAATATTACATACTTACATTAGTGTAAATTTGTTTAAACAAAATAATTGATTAATTACATCAA